TGCAGCCACCTGGGACCCTGTGCGTTCTGCTCAATAACAACAGGAACAGCTCTTCCCCGCTCTAGCCGTGTTGTCGAGGGAAGTTTGGAGCCTGGAGTTTAAGGAACACTTCCTTCCGCTGCTCTGAGGGCACTTGGAGGGGCTGTGAGCTTGTGAGAAGGCAATGTGTTGGTTCTTGAATTTTATTGTTTGAGGATTTGCTCGGTTTTCTTACTAGCTTCATGAACTCTTTCACTCAATACATATTTATCCAGCCAGGTTCTACTTAAAAAAGAAAAACAAAAAGCCTCAAACCAGCTTCTTGAAATAAAACTGGGGGAAAGATACTTTAAAAACAGCTTGAATACATAATTCCATTGGGTGTTTTTCATGTCTTTTTTTTTTTTAAACAGGTTGAAGCCAGTGGCCTTTTTATTCATTACCCCCACCAAGTATAGCCAGAGCAGAAACACCAGGGGCCCGGACTCCGGGCTACACCCTCCAAGTCCCCTACTCCAGGCACGCTCCTGGGAGCCAGAAGCGTGTCATGTGCTGCCGTGCGATGATCCTCTGGGGAGGGCCAACAGGACCCAGGACCCCTGGACCCAGGCCTTCTCCTGCTGGCAGAGGGGAGGGACTGCCACCGGCACTGTGGGGGCTGGGACTTGGGAAAGGGGGTCTTCCTAAACCCCCGTGAAGGCAGGCACAGCGGGGAAGGAGAGGAGGTCTTCGGGATCTCAGAGAATGAGGCAACCCCTCTGGCGCTTATTCTTGTGCACGTGGAGGCCAACGCAAGTGGCCATCTGAACACGCCCCCTCCCCCGCGCCCCGTCCTTGGTCTTGGCTGAACATTTGAAGTAGCCAAGGGCACTGATCTGGCTCATCATGTCCTGGCCTTCCTCAGACGGAGTGGGCTCCTGGTTCATCTTGGCCAGCTCTCTCCTGGGCTCCTGGTCTTGCCTCAGGTCCTGCTTGGCCCATAAGGATGGCAGGTGTGTTGGAGCAGAATTGCTTCACCTCTGGAGTCCACTTCTCAGGAACGTTTTCCAGGCTGGCCAGGCTGATGTCATTGTCGGGGTAGGAGAGAGGCCGGAGGTGATCACAGTCTTCCTGGCCTGCTGTGTCCCCAGGGCCAGCTGCAACTGCTTATTGTCCACCTCTGTGTCTGCAATGTAGTTCTCAAGCACAGTGCGGTTGTAGCAGACCTCTGGAGCTGGTCCTCGCTGAAGACAACGAGGGAGCAGGTCTTCCCCCAGGCCCCTCCACCTCAATCGCCAGCTTCTTTAGGATCTCAACCATGGCTGGGGCCCCCTCCCAGCCACCTTTAGCTGTGAGGCCGGGGCCGGGGGCACAGATTCTGTTTTTCATTTCCTTTACTCAGTGGTAGTGTGAGACTGCAACACTTTTGGGAAGTTAAGAAATAAATGCGTGAGATCTGCTTCCAGCAATAAAAATGGGTACGAGAGGTGAAGTATTCAAGTTTGTATAATGTGTATTATTTCAGAATGAATGGAATAAAAGGAATTTGCCAATGTGAGGTGGCTTGAGGTAGGAAACTGTTACTTTTGGTGCGGAAGGCCCTGGAAGTTCAAAAGCCCTCCTCCCACCCCCTCAGTGCCTGAGTCTTCCTTGTTGGTCCTCTTTATGGACCGAGAGTTGTGATGGGAAAGGCAGAAATTTTATCTCCAGGAAGGACCCGTTTCTCAGATTGCAGCGGGGTGGGTTAGAAAGTGCATAAAATGCACATCTAGAGACAGAGTTTCAAGTCTTCCGTGGCAGTTTTCTCACTCACTGTGGCCCTGGACCAGTTCCGCAACATGTCTTGGCATCAAGAGTCTAGCTCTCTGCCTGATACATAGAAAGTGCTCACAAACTCCTTTTCTGGGTGGCGTCCTGAGCTTCTCGCAGCCTCTCCCCCTTCAATTCTAGCCAGACACTCAATCTTGCCAGTAGTACCTGCTAAATGCTGCTTAACCCTGCTCGTCCTCTCATTCTGACCACAAGTCCCTTCAGTCCTTATCACTCTCACGCTGTTGTAGGAAATGGTTTCCAGCTGCTTTTCTGGCCTCAGGAGGTGCTCACTAACCCCACCTCCACAAACCTTTCTAGAGGAGAGCCCATGGCATCGGGTCCCTGCTTAGAAGAGAAACGGGAGCCCCTATCTTGCCTGTAGGATAAAGTCTTCACCGTAATAAAAGTAGCAAGAACTTTCATAGTTCTTACTTTTGTTCTTTCAAATGCTCCCCGTATGGTAACTCAATCCTCGCAATAACTGTGTGAGGATGACTGTTACGATCTTCAGTCGCCAGGTGAGGAAGCAGGCATAAAGGTTAAGTAGCCTGGTTGGAGTTAAAGCCCCTGCTCACAAGGGGTGAAACAGAATATTCAAGTTTTTAATGTATTCCTGCTTAATCTCAATTTTATCTCTGGCCACTTTTGCCTTGTTCTTTATCTTCCAGCAATGCAAGGGTCGCGCGGCTTACCCCGCCTGTATCTTCTCCCCTCCCCCCACATCCTTTTGCTCCTGTTAGGGGCTTTCCTTTGAATGCCCTTGCCTGCTGGCTCCTTGACAAATTTCTGCCTCTCCTGTTCTCTTGGCCCTGGCATCACCTCCCCATCAGTCAGTCTTCCCACCTGTGTTTCCCTTGTGCTCTGTGCATACCTACAACATCGGAGGGGCTGCTTTATGTTAGGAATGAGACAGAGGGTGGAAACTAAGATCTAGACGTGGTCCTCAGGTCTTATGTTCATCTGGGGAGAAGAGGCAAAGAAGCTTTACAGGAAAGGTAAGCAAAGGGCACTTCACGGGGGACACGTGCAGGTCAAGGAATCCAGACTGGCTTGTGGGGAAAGCGCTCCCAGGACAGGCAATGTTGCAACTAAGAAGTCACTAATGGAAAAAAAATTTACAGTGAGGAGCTAGGGGAAGAAACGTTTGCGAGACAAAAGGAATGGCATTGGCAAGCTCAGAGCCAAGCGTGGTAGGTTTGGAGGAATTGTTGAGTGAGTTCATCTACTTACCGCTCCCGCTTGGCTGAGTTCCTTAAGGAAGTCACGTCTATGCTGCTCAAGGAGGTTTCAAAAGACATCAGGCTGGAACTCAAACACTGGAATCTCTGGGCCCCATTGCCCCATCTGTTAAGGGCCATGTTAGGAGAATGCTTAAGTCCTTTGGAATTTCTGAGATTCTATGCATCACGTAAGAAGCCAATCAGAGGGCCTCAGTCTGAGAACTGCCTGAGAGTTCTGGGAGGCTTGGCTGGTAGGTACATCACTCTAGTGTCTGTTTCCTGTGTCACATGGCATTCCCAAATAAGGCCACATTCACAGGTTAAGACTCGGGGTTAAGACTTGAAACTATCTTTTCAAGAGACAAAATTCAACCCACAATAGCTAATAAATGGTGAAGCTATGGTTCTGAACTGCTCCCCAGTCATCTGCAGATGGGGTGTTCATGTCCCAGGGACCCGCTGGTAGTACTAAGAGAATGTTTATTTACTCTTAAATTTTATCTTTAAAAAATTCTATTTGTGTTATATGATGAACATAATATATTTACAATAGTATGTGCATATATTTTATAAAGATGTATGTATTCAGTGGATACTCAAAAATTTGGAACTGATCAGAGTACTAAAAAAAATTTAGATTCTTTTCCTTATTCTATACACTTTCATCCATCTATTAAACAGGTTGGTTACTATTCTTTGTTTTGTTTTGTTTTGTTTGTTTGTTTTTTGAAAATTGCCTTAGTAGAATAATACTCCACCCGTTGAGGTTTGTAATAAGGTGTTCTAGCCTCCCCACTCCCAGCACTTAGTTGAAAAACGATTTAGTTTGAAAAAAAGGGCAGTTACGAGGCTTGAGCCATGGCAACAGGCAGCTGGAATTTTCAGAATGAGGCAATTTCACAAGGAATTTTCCCCTTCAATTAATACCTTTATATACTTCAATAACTTTTGTCTTATCATCTGTTTTTTTTAACACTTTGTACAGAGCCAGTGTTTAATATAGTTTAGGCCTGAAGACACATTCTTAATGGTCTGAACAATTTGATGTCAATTGCTGAGGGCAGTGGAGGCATGGACTTGGACTTTTTGAAATACAGCTTTTCAGAAGAGGAGAGCCTCTGCAAACCAGTAGTGAGGTCAGGATTACACTTTCATTCTTCGGACTGCAATTCTGGCAATTCTACAGGTTCCCAAGATCCACCTCCCGGCCCCTCAACACACACACACACACACACACACACACACACACACACACTCTCTCTCTCTCTCTCTCTCTCTCTCTCTCTCTCTCTTCTAAGGATTGCTTTGAGATCCCTAAGGGAGAGAGGCTGATATGCTCACAAGTAAACAAATCTCAAAATACTGATAATGTATACTTGAAAATCCATTGTTTAAAATCTTAGAGAAAGAGAGAGGAGAGGGGCAAGAGAGAGAAACATTGATGTGAGAGAGAAGCATTGATTGGCTGCTTCCCATGTGCGCCCCATCCAGGGATTGAACCCTCAACCTATGTACCTATGTAGGTGACCTGACCAGGAATCAAACCTGCATCCTTTTAGTGTATGGGATGATGCTCCAACCAACTGAGCCACCCAGCTAGGGCTTGAAAATCCAATTGTTCATATAGTTTAAAAATGGTGGAAGTCAATGTAAACAAGGGAAAAAATATATAAATTTGAGAAGATATTCAGATACCACAAGAAAGCATTTCTCAGAACAAAGGATAATATAACATTAAATGTGTGGTGTCATTTTTCAAGAGAGTTAAACAGCAAGAATATTTTTGTTAGTCGACTGTTGAACTCTTAGAGTGTTCGACATAAGATCTATTGATTGTGAAAGGGCTGATGCCCTCCTCATAGGATATTTGAGCTCCTGTGTGGGCCTAAGTATAATTTGGTCATAATTTATCCCACCTGTGTCTGTCAATTCCTTTCTACTCGCCTCCTCCTGTAATGGCCTGGCTCATGTTTCTTCATAAAGCTCTAGGCCAGTTATTAATAACAGCCCAGTGACTCCTGATCCATCTAGGAGCATATGGTGTTTTTCACAAAAGAGAGAGATCATCTCCTTGACTCTGGACTTCGCTTATTGAACCCCTGAACAGTAAGTTTTGGTTTTTAAAAAATGTGGCATTTTTAAATGTTGACATAGGAGGAAATTTTAATGTAACTCTTATTTGTTTCTGATACAGAGAAAGTATAGTCAGTTAAAACTTAGATTCATAAAGCCTATTTCCCTTCCTGCATTTCAACATCTCTCCAGTTTGTATCAGGCTGGATATTAGGTAAATTAATGAATTAGCATTCTGTTCTTTCCATTTCTTTCTTGCTTAAAGGCAGAGGAGAAGCAAGGGATTAATGATGTCTAAATTACTTGAACAAGCCTTGTGGCAGCGCTTGATTTTCTCAGCTCCCCATGTTTTCTCTCCAAATAGAGGGTTTCTGTGATTTCAAAGAGAAATTTCACTATGGAAAGTATCGCACGGGAGTGTTGGATAGGAGATTTGGGTCTTGTCATTTTTCCATGTTTGAGATTTGGGTCAGAGAGGTACTCATCTTGTTCCATGGATTCATTGCCTCCTTGTCATTTTAAGCAAAGGCTTTGTCTTTGAAGTCTTTCTGTAATGGTTGCTTCTGAGAGTCCTGCAAAGTAGGTCACTGTGTTTTCTGTCTGGAAAGGAGGACCCTGATGCCCAGAAAGGCCGGTGCCCAGCTCGGTCCCGGGGAGCAGAGATGGAACCTGACACTCCACACTGATACGGCTTTCTGCTTTTGCTTACATACGTTCGGTGTCCTTAAGCATGTGCATCGGGCTTCCAGATAAAATGTATAAGGGAGGCATTACAGTGAACTGGAAGGAGGCAGATCCCCACTTGGTAGTGAGCCCTGGCTTAGACCACTCACAAATTGTGTGACTTTATGTAAGTACTCAACCTCTCTGAGCCTCAGTTTCCTTGTTTGTGAAATGAGAGTCAGCACCTGTTTTACAGGGTAGTGGGGTTTACCCATAATGTATATAAGTGGCTAAGTGTGGTAACATTTAGGAAATCCCTTATTTCAATTTTTCCTGAATCGTCTTTATTTTTAAATTTTATTTTAAAATTACAGTTAATATACAATATTATATTAGTTTCAAGTGTACCACCCCATGATTAGACATTTATATAACTTATGAAGTGATCACCCCAATAAATCTAGCACCTGAATCTTCTCAATCATCTCTCATTTGTTTTCAAATTGAAACCTACAAGGTCTGGCAGAAGTAAGGCCTGCCTGAGTGAGGTTGGTAAGGTAATAATATGAGTGTGATAGTTTATAGTTTTAATTTGAACATTTCACCTCAAATGTCCTCTGGCGTGCTTGAGTGTGCAATCGTTATGTTACAGAATCACATGCTTATGATTTTGTAATAAAAGATTTTGTAATAAAAAGGGGCGTTATTTGTGCCAGACCCTTCCTGGAGCCTTCACTGTGGTATTTGATGGGGAACATTAATCTAAGCTGTTGAGATAATAATTGGTTTCTGCTGCTTTTAATAACTTGACCCCCTGGATGGTGCAGGCATTGTGAATGGCGAGGATGGGAGCATGGAAGGGCGGTGTACGGTTAGCCGTTCAGAACACGAGGCTACAGCTAAGATCAGCAATGGCGGGGAACCTCGCAAAGCGATGTCAAAGCAGAAGGTGTTGTTTAGCAAACTCACCTGCTCTGCTATAATCAGCATTCTAAATGTTCCCTTTTGGTTATGGTTACAAAGGACTGGTTGGCTGCCTAGATTTCGATTCTATGTCTGGAGGAGACCGAAAGGATTGTCTCAGACAACACCTGCTTCCCAAAGTGTCAGTCACCCTGTAACGCAGGAGATAGGGTGAGATTTTTGTTTCCCTCTATAAGTATAAGCTTTCATTCTGCGAACGTTCATGTAATTCTAAGTGTCTAAGTGTAATTAGTGTCTGCAAGACACAGTACTGAATTAACAAGAGGTCAATAAGCTCTAATGTAGAAGATGTTCCATGATATGAATCAGGGTAGACTTGTTCATGATATATGAGAAGTATAGACAGGAAACTGCATTATGATACAGTAGAAGTCCATCCAGCCTTCACACCCCAAACTCAGCTAAAACAAGCCGATTCCCCTTGGAAGGCTGTACATTCTTGGAAAATGATTCATTGATTTACAGGGCTCCTTCTTGGGTTCACCTCCTAAGTAATGAGCCTGTGAGGATGGAGGAACAGCACCTTAAAATCACAGCTCACCTTCCCCCACCCCACATTTTTTTTTTTACTGAGTACCTATTTTATTCCAATCCCTGTGCTAAGTGCTGGAAAAAAACAATTCTGCTTAAAAGGAGGTCACAGGCTTTTATTTAACTGGAAATTGTGTTCTCCAACCCAGCCATCTGTCTTCTCAGCTAAACTTGACTCCAAATAACATTTAGCTGGTTTCAGATATCACATCTGTGCCTCAGTGGATAAAAAGTCACCACCAATGAGTTTGTGCAGAGGGGTGTGTGTTGCAGTCTAAGAAGAAATTTGAAAAGACTTTGCTTTTTTAGAACTGAACCTGGTCCAGAAATTTTCTACTCTCCTCCACTCACCAACCCCAAACCTGTGATGAACCTTGTTTGGATGTATGAGTTCTGCAGATAAAAAACAAACACCGTCAGTCCCACTCCTATTGCAAAAAAGAAGGAGGTTTGGATGGCACTGCTGTGTGTTGGGGCTTCCTTTTGAAGCCTGACAGGACAGGAACCCAGCCAGTGCTCTTTGCAATCCGTCAGGCCTTGTGAGAGGACACTACAGCTGTCATTCATAGGGAGGGGTGGGGAACTTGGCAGGGAGAAGGTTGAACACAATTTGATTATCTTGGTTCTAGAATATTTCTTCATGTTAAGTCCTTGTAACTGAGTAATTAAGTTTTTCTTAGGGGCAATGTCCAATCTCCTATTTGGGGTAGGAGTGTGGTAGCAGGAAATCTCAGCCTTCAGGAGTCTCGGGAGTAAATGATTAAGAGGAGATGTTTGTTCCTGTGTAGAAAAATAGTTCATTTTAGAGCCAAAATATTTATTTAAAACATTTGAGGCATGGTTGTAGATGGCTTTGGAAGGCTCAGCCTGGACGGGTGTTGACGCAGAAAGCAAGTCTGAGAGGAAGAGTTGAAAAGAAAAGACGCTGAGCAGTTCCACAGACGTCAGGGACGCCCTGCCCCTCTGGAGGAGCAGGTTTTCCTCTCATCCTTCTGGTCATTCACTTCTCTGAACTGTACTTGGGCTGCAGGGAAGTGGCCATCTTTCTGCTTCATCGTACCGATCGCTATTTTATCCAGCGTCAGGCAGCTTGCTGGGCTCTTGTGTTACCTTTGTCCAGTCCTGAGACAGTGCAGTGGCTAATGCTTTGGAGCTAAACAGACCTCTCTTCCAATCTCTGGTCATCCCTGGTGTGTGATCTTGAATAACGTTACTTATGCTACAAGGAAATAGGAGTGCTAGTAACTTACCTCATAAGGTTTTATAGATTAAAATCAAAGCGTGTACAGGCCCATCTTTTCAACTAAGGAAATAGAAGTGTAGTAACTCACCTCATAAGGTTTTATGAGATTAAAATCAAAGCACATGTAGGCCTTCTTAACTGTAGTAATGAATACAATTTCCACATCCTTTTAAGGCAGGTATTATCTTGGTTCTCCAGATGAGGTAGCAGGTGGTGTTAAGGGCCTAGGCACAGGCCGCAGAGCTAATACCAGTCAGAACCAGGATCTAAAACCAGCTCCATTTTGCCCCCAGATCTATGTTCTATCCCCACTCCACCAACCATATGTGACAGAGCATAGATGTTTCTTTTCAGCTGAAGTCCACTTTGTCAAGCTCTGTGTCTTGTGAGTCTGCCTGGCCAAGTTTTCTGGTGTTCACTTGTGACCTCCTTTATTCGAGACTCTCCTGTCTTACCTTGGCTTGAATCAAAGAAGCTGGGAGGTGATGATGGTAGAAGATCTCCAAATAGCCATATCTTATGAAACACAGGATCCGATTTATCAGCAATTTTGAAAAATTGCTGAGGTATTTATGATAGTAGCTCTGAAGAAAAGCAACTGTGTGACCTCAGACAAGTTGATATACTTCTCTGGGTCCCATTTGTCAAGTGAGACATTTACAAAATCTCAAATATCTTTTCCAGTGCCAACATTTCTGTAATAGTTGAGACCTTTCTCTACTGTTGTTTTTCTTAGCTGGAGGGAGAAAAATTTCCTTGACATCATATTTTAATCAGGGAACCAGGTCCCCCAATCATGCCTGCAATCATTTAAATATAAAGCCATGTGCTGTTTATTATGATTCTCATTCAAGCTTTCTCTCATACAAGGCTCATATGATTGATGAATTAATTCCTCAGGTGTGCATTAAATTTCCTTTCTCATATAACTCACCTTTGGGAGAATCAAATGGAGCCTCAATTATTTCAGAACATGCAACTTTAACTCAAACTTTAGAAATTTACAGGATATACAAAAATCCACTTACCATTCTATATGCCTGGCTTTTCATTTAACTTGGGCATAACTCAGAGTTCAGGACTTTACGTCTCCTGCCCTGCTGGACCACTGTCCATTTCTGGAGTCAAGGGGACAAATCTCCAATATGTCGTAGAAATGGTGACCGTCCCTGCAGGACACTCCTACCCCGAAACCTGTAGGGCTGGTGCCACACTTTTGCTGTCTTCCCACGGCTTGACTTGTTTTCTTAATTACAAGGAAAAGAAAAAAAAAAGATAAACCAGGAGTGAAAACATTAACAAGACAAAATTACCATATGATTTCTGAAGTTTCTATAAGATAATTTTATTGAACATAACTTTTATGGGCAAGAGACATTTTCCATATGTAGACGAATTAAAAGCACTCAACTTTGGGATTTTAGTTTTAAGATATTTGCTGGGAAAAGTAGACATAATATACAGGGGTGGACAAAAGTAGGTTAAGTTACCAGCCATTATTACCCGAAGGGTAAATCATAAGTAAGGATACAAAATTATAACAATAAGAAGACAAATAAGACAAGTGAATAATACAAAAATAAATAAATGAGTAAATATATAATACAAGAAT